GAGACTGATTTATTCAAGATAGCAAGGACAATTCAGGCAAGAGCTGCCAAATTTCAAAGCTGAGCAATCCATTCCTGCCCTGCCCAGAGTGACAGTCAGAGATGTAATTAAGCAGGGCTTTTCTCAGATTCCAAAAGGTAGAATTCAAACTCTGCTGAAGGTTTTTGACTTCTCCTTAGTCTACCAAGAACACATCCTACTTTGGCATAAGACCTGAACAATGGTAGGTGTGCTTGCATGTTCTCTTTTGTCCAACGTGGCCAGATTTTCTGTCTAGAAACCTTCACCTTTTCAAGGCATAGATGGCTTATTCTGGATGTGGATGGATTTGTTACTGAGCACAATGGGCTACAATTCCTCTGGGGGTTCACATGTGCTATCAAACACAAAAAATACAAATGTGCTTTCATAAATGAAGGAATTTTACTTTATTGATCCCAACAGGTATCATATTCATTTCTGGATAAAATTACTGGCTTTGTCACAACACTATTTAATTCCCAGAAGTCAAAGAGTATCTGACCAGCCTGAGCAACTGAGGCAGCTGCTCACAGAACCACACTGCTGCTGACACCAGGGCTCACTGAAAAAACAGAGAAGCTCTTTTGCAACTAATGAGCTAAAGAAACCGAACTATCAATTATGTAAGACCACATTATTAACATTTCAAACCACCTGAGGCTCTGCACCTCTTTATTTTCACCACAGATGGACCACACACTATCCTGTACAGGTAATTGCTGATGACAGCATTGTGTGGAAAATGACCCCTCATTACCAGCTGTGAGTGCCAAGATCTCATAACCCATTGCAGGCAATAAGTAAAATCCTTGTTGGGCTGATTCTATTAGAATAATTTGATGTTGGAGGACACCCCCACTCCGACATAAAGCAAGACAAAAAGCTCCCAGAAGTCTACAAGAATTAAGATAAGAAAGTCCACAGCATTTCATATTTCTAACAGTTAAATATTCAAAGGAGTTGTTATCAAGCTGAAGAAAAGCAAAAACTTGGCATGCCAATTTAAGGTCTGGAATCTTTAATGATTTGTTTCAAGTTTTCTGTAAGATTAGTGAATATCCAAACTTAAGTAGTTAACTACTTTGTTTTTCTGGGATGATATGAGATTCACAGATTTCAGAAGAGACTCAGAGGCAATTATCACATTATTTTTGCATACCTAGGTTAAAAAGAGCATTCTAGTCTTGAAAGTCTAGAATCTATGTTCTTAAACTTTTTTTTACTCTTTATATCAGAGTAACCAGTATTGTTTGGAACTGAATTTTGGCAAGAATTTTAACTCATGAAAGTACCTGAATAACAAGCAGCATGTGGCTTTACTCTCTTCTTGGGATCAGCCTGAGAAATTTTCTTTTTCCCCTTTTTTCTTTCATCTTAACAGCTGATTATTTGTTGCCTCCCTCTCTATGACAGCTACCCATAGCAGCCTCTTGCCTGGGATGGAAATCCCTAAAATTCTGGGAACCTGAAATGAAAGTTGGAGGAAATAATGGCATAGACTTTGTATCCCCTCCTTTTTTAATGTAGATTTCAGATGATTCTGTGTTGGGAGACTCAGAATGGCCCACTAACCCTATATTTAGAGAGATAACTGGGATTTTATTCCACAAACAGTTTGCCTGGGAGTAAGTCACTTATGTGAGTTGCCAAGCTTCAGGATTGTGGCAGTTCTGTTTGTAAACAAATATCATGATATAATTATGATATATATTGTAGGAAAGCACGCTCAAACCCACAGCTGGCTCTTTTTGAATCTATTCTTACTTATTGTTGAGTTCATTGATGTAACCTGAAAAATAACTGAAAGGAAGTGTTGGATTTTAGCTTCTTTGAAAAACTAAACAAAAGAAATTAAGCAGAAGTTCTCTCTCCCAAGGTTTTATGCTGGCATTGGGTAATCCATGGAATTATTACATATGAATGGTACCTCTTACTCCTCCCAGCATAGTAAGATAGTGATTTTGCTGATGAGCAAATCCAGAATTAATCCAAAAGTCTTCAAGTAAATTGCATGTTGGATTAAAAAGTTGCAATTTGTTTGCTATTCAAATGCAGTTTCTTACCAGAAAATATTTTTGGTTTGAAAATCAAGATTTTTTTTCCCTGACAAATTCAAGTTCCCAATTTTAAGTACTAATATAACAAGGTAGGGTAATTTTACAAATAAGTTTAAAAATAGTTTATAAACCCACAGTGAATCTCAGTTATAGAAGAATTTTTATAGCAAACTATCTATGTTTTGCATTTCTTTTCATTTGGTATTCTATTCTTCACAGTAATTTGAGTATGTTTTTCAGGATTCTGCCTGCAGATTGCAAGAATCAGTACCAAGCTGCACTATTAACTCAGATCCTGGACACACACCCTTCAATAAGGTGAGTATGTTCAGGAAAACTCATTGAAGTATTTTGTTTGGTTTTAGCTTGTTTAGTCTAATAAGAGGCCAGTGTAAAGCAAACCCTTAAAATAACTTTGGTGATTCATGTATGTTATCTGCTTGGGTTATTTTTTTTTCTGTCCTTGTACATTTCTTATTTTCTTCCTATTTAAGTTTCTAAAATAATTAAGTGTATGCATTTGTCAATACATATGTGGGAGTATATTTTTAGTGTAGAACTTGGTAGCATATGTTTTCTTACTTTCAGTTTTACGAAAAGTAGTATCAGAAGCAGAGATTGTTCACTCCTCAGTTTGCCTTAGCATCTTCCTGTTTTCACTTTCTGAAATAAATTTGTTGGTCGAAAGACCATTCAAATATAAAATTAAATTTTCTAAATAATGTTATGGATCTTTTGGTGCTAAGTTTTTCATTTTCAAACAGTTGAATATCACAATATAGTTGATGCACCCCCATGTTATCAAATAAATGCTCAAGGTACAGCTTATAATGTTGAAAAATAGAAAAATAAATTGACCTTGATGAAGTGTGTCTTCTTTTGTCTGTTCCCAGGAAAGTTTATTTCAGGTATTTCTACTGCTGAAATGATTAGAGTTAACAGCTTTTTCCCTCCATTTTATTTTACAGGGTCTCTTCATCTTCCTGATATATGGGGTGTACAACACAGAGGTAAGTCTGCTTGGAGTATCTCAAGGCTGACAGAGTGAATGAGAGAAATGACAGGTTTCTTATCTTGATAACTGAGGGACAAAGTTGGCTTTCCATACGAGTGTCCTACTGCCCTTCATGCTTGGACTGGCTTATATGCATCCCAGCTTACCATTAAACACAGACACCCTGAATAAAGGGACAGACTCATTTCTCATAGGCATTGACTAATATTTTACTGCTGCTTTAAGTTTTTTGAATTCCTGGTCTGCCTTTTAACACTTAGCTAAACCTGACAGTCCTAAAGTGTTGTAATCAAATGTACATTTTGAAATTAACTGTTAGTTTACATGCTATATTTATATATATATTTAAATTATAAAAGGAGCTAGTTTTACTTAACAAAATTTTGAAGTACAGAAATGGCATAAAATTCTACTTTTTTGCATCAATCAGATATGTTTAAAATTTTAAGATCTGACCCAAGTCTTTGTACCAGTCAGGGTTATGAAAAGTACTTGCTATTATAGGGTTATTTAGTACTTGCTATATTATATTATAGGCTCATCTCTCATAAAGGAAAATATCTTTGACAGATAAAGCCTAAAAATCTTAAGGAATCTATCCACCTTGCTCTGTTACTTCCATTACATCAATAATGAAAATTAGCATTAATATGTTTAATTCCAAGTTTTTAAGCTAAGGTACCCCTCTGATGCTTGCATTTTAAAACTTTACAGAAATACAAAATGCTTTTGAAGTAAGCACTCAGAAATTAAGCAGAATTCTATTTATGTTTTATTGTCCTCCAAGGAGGGCATGGACTATTAGAAAAAAAGTGGAAAAGGTCTCCTTGTTAACCGAGCTAAGTTACTATTTCAAAATAACAATTTTATCTCATTTCTAGTATAAGGATTAATTATTCCCGTACATGCAGCTCAAGCAATGAGCACCATTAGAACGGGTTTTGCTGTGCCAGGGGGCCAAAGAATGCCGGCCGTGGCCCCGGGAGCTGAGCTGCCGGTGTGTCCCAGCCCGCCGGGGCCAGGCTGCACTCCGCGCTCCCAGGCGGCAGCTGTGAGAGGCTGGCACGGCAGCCCCGCTCCGCAGCGTGTGCACGGCAGGGAGCGTGGGAGCAGCGTGAGTCCAAAGTGCCCGATGGACGCATCCCACCAGAACACCGCAGTGGTTCAGGGAGCGGGGCGGCTTCGCTATCTCCCTGGCGTTACGTGCGTCTCATGGCACTGGTTTGGGATCAAACAGCAACACCCTCCAGGCTTTGTTAAAAATCTCAATTTTAGCCTTTCTGCATCTGCCGCTTCTCCACCCGCGTCCCGAGAGCCGCAGCCGCTGCCCGCGTTTGGGGCTTGGCACGGCCCGGGACCGGCCCTGCCGCGCGTTGCGGGGCAGCACCTGCGCTCTGCTCCCGTCCCGCCGCGGGCGAGCGGCGCTGCCCGGTCCCGTTATCCGGGCCGCGCCGGGGGCGGAGGCCGCCCCCGGTTCTGCCCGCAGGGCTCCCGCGGCTCCCGGAGCGCGTCCCGGCGGTGCCGCCCGGCCCGGCCCGGCCCCGCTCTGGGCAGCGCCCATCCCGCGCCCCCCGCGCCGCGCCTGCGCGCCCGCGGCCCGTGCGGCCGAGGCTCCCAGCGTGCCGCGCGGCGCGCATGTGCGGCGGGGCGGGCGCTGCTAATTCCATTGTGGAGCGGACGCGGCGATATTTGTAACTGGCGGCGGCGGCGGGAGCCGTAAGTGCAGCCGGGCCGGGGCCGCCGCGGGCGCGGGGCGGGAGGCGGCGATGCGCCCGGGCGGCGGCTGCCGGGCCGCCGAGGGAGCCGCCCGCTGAGCCGGCGCGGTCCGGCCGGCTGGCGGGCGGGCGGGCGGCGGGTCCCGCAGCCCCTCTGGGCCGCGCCTCCTCTCCGGCCCGCCTTCCCGGGGGATGAAACTCGGCAGCGGCTTCCTCGGCGGCGGCAAGAGGGCGGCGGCCATGGAGCCGACGTTCCCCCCCGGCATGGTGATGTTCAACCACCGCCTGCCCCCGGTCACCAGCTTCGCCCGGGCGGCCGCGCCCCCCGCGGCGGCCCAGCACCCCCCGCAGTGCGTGTTACCTCCGGCCGCCGCCGCCGCCGCTTCCTCCACGGCGGCGGGCGAGCCCCCGGCGCCTCCGCCCCCGCAGGACGTGACTTTCAAGAAGGAGCCGGCGGGGGCTTTCCCCTCCGCGCCCTCCTCGCAGAGGAGCCCCTGGGGCTTCCTGCAGTCCCTGGTGAGCATCAAGCAAGAGAAGCCCAGCGAGCAGGAGGAGGAGCAGCAGTCGCAGCACCATCACCACTACGGGGGGCTTTTCGGGGGAGCGGCCGAGGAGAGACCCCCCGGCCTGGGCAGCGGCGAAGGAACCGGCCAGAGCGTGATCCAGGACCTCAGCCTTCTTCACCACCTGCACCAGCATCCCCACCGAGACCTGCTGCTGACCGGTAGAGGCGAGGGCGCTCCAGGGAGCGCGGGTGAGCCAAAGCACGACGCCCAGGTCAAGAAGGCAAAGAGGCCAAAGCCAGAAACTCAGGGAATCAAAGCCAAGCGGAAGCCGAGCGCTTCATCCAAACCCCCCCTGGTGGGAGATGGGGAAGGTGCCGTCGCGTCCCCCAGCCAGAAACCTCACGTCTGCGAACACTGCAGTGCTGCCTTCAGGAGCTCCTATCACTTGCGCAGGCACGTGCTCATCCACACCGGGGAGAGGCCTTTCCAGTGCAGCCAGTGCAGCATGGGCTTCATCCAGAAGTACTTGCTGCAGAGACACGAGAAGATCCACAGTAGGGAGAAGCCTTTTGGGTGTGACCAGTGTAGTATGAAGTTCATCCAGAAGTACCACATGGAAAGACACAAGAGGACGCATAGTGGAGAAAAGCCATACAAATGTGACACTTGTCAGCAGTATTTTTCAAGGACTGATAGACTGTTAAAGCACAGAAGAACATGTGGTGAAGCCATAGGTAAAGCAGGGGCCGGAATGGAGCCCGGATCATCGAATAGCATGGGTAGCTTGGCTGCATTGTCTCAGGGAAATACAAGTTCCTCAAGGAGAAAAAGTAAAACAAAAAATACATCCACTGAAAACAAAGGAAGCAAGTGTAGCAGCAAAATCGCTGAATCTCAAGTTACAAGTAATGTGGCCATGCCAAGTTATGCAGTTGATATTCCAATTGTGTCTTCCAGTGGTGGTCTAGTTGGCACAGGCGTAGAAGAACTTCAGAAAAAGGTGCCAAAATTGGTGTTGAAAAAAGCGAGCAGAAAACAAGGAGACAAAAATTACCTTAATTTTGTATCACCACTGCCAGATATTTTGGGGCAAAAACCACTGTCTGGGAAACAGAGTGGCTCTCTAGGCCTAGTAGCCAATACCGGTGTAGAATCTATTGGCCTTCTCCAAAGTACAGGTGGTAAACCGGGTCAGATAAGTAGCAATTATGATGATGCCATGCAGTTTTCAAAGAAAAGAAGATACTTACAAACTGCAAGCAGTAACAGTGCCTTTTCACTTAATGTCGGACACATGACTTCCCAGCAGTCCGTCATCCAGTCTCCAGGTGTTAGCGTTATGGATAACGAAGCTCCTTTATCTCTTATTGATTCAGCATCTTTAAATAATGAAATAAAGTCTTGCCATGACAAGTCTGGTATTCCTGATGAAGTCTTACAGAGCCTTTTGGACCAGTACTCTCACAAATCAGAAGGCCAGAAAGAAGATCCTTTCAGTATAACTGAACAGCGTGTGGACTTGCACACCTCAGGAGAACATTCAGACATGGTTCAGGAAGAAAACTTGAGCCCTAACTCTCAAACAGTTTCAAATGATAAGGCAAGCATGTTGCAAGAATACTCAAAATACCTCCAACAAGCCTTTGAAAGAACAACCAACAGCACTGGTTTTGCTTTTGGACCCAGTTTCCAGTTTGTTAGCTTGTCTTCAACTCTCCATAACCACACTCTGTTTCCAGACAAACAGATATACACTACATCTCCCCTTGAGTGTGGCTTCAGCCAATCCGTTACCTCAGTATTGCCAACTGCGTTGCCAAAACCTCCATTTGGGATGTTGCTTGGCTCTCAGCCAGGCTTTTACTTGTCTGCTTTGGAGGCTTCGCATCAACAGTTGACTCCTTCTCAAGAGCTGGATGATCTCATCGATCCACAGAAAAACTTAGAGACTTCATCGAACTACCAGTCAACATCTCAGAAACTGACTGGCCAGAAGGAACAGAAAAACTTAGAATCCTCAACAAGCTTTCAGATCCCGTCTCAGGAGTTAACCAGCCAGATAGATCCTCAGAAGGACATAGAGCCTAGAGCAACCTACCAGATCGAGAACTTTGCACAAGCGTTTGGTTCTCAGTTCAAGTCGGGCAGCAGGGTGCCAATGACTTTTATCACTAACTCTAATGGAGAAGTGGACCATAGAGTAAGGACTTCAGTGTCAGATTTCTCAGGGTATACAAATATGATGTCTGATGTAAGTGAGCCATGTAGTACACGAGTAAAAACCCCAACCAGCCAGAGTTACAGGTAAGGTCCTGACTGTGACCAGGCTGTGGGGTCTTCTTAATGTAATTTGTTTTACTTTGACAACACTGCCATTGGAATGTTTCTACACGGTCCTTTTAAGAATAATGTAACATGCCCTTTCAATGCAACTTTTCATATTTAGTTTATTTTGTTAGTGTGATTTTTTTAGCTCTGTTTATTATGGTTTTTAATCAAAAATCAATAGTTTTAAAATAGCGTTTTTGTTCAAGTGACAATGTTTAGCAATCAAATTTACATTATGTAGATTGTCAGGGAATAGCCCAAATTTTAAAATGCAAAAAATTAACTTTGTTCCTAGGACTAAAGTTTATTCTAATTGCTTTACTCTCAGGAAAGTGTAATGAAGCATGGGAATTCTATGCACCGCAAGTGTATTGGAACTTCCAATTTACAGATGATGACAAATATATCTCAGCTTTTTGAGGAAGGGATCTTTGACATTTCAAATTGCTGTCTCTTACGTCAGCTGATCTGAAAGAATTTTGCTACCTAAATCTTGTTGTTTTTAAAGTACTCCTGTTCTTCCAGGTGACGCTCATTCCAGGCAGGTGGAGCAAATATTCTTGGGTCTGCACGATGAGCCCAGCACGGTAGCTTTAATCTGCACAGTAACGTCCCCAGAACTTCTGTGTAAGACTGTAATTCCGTAAAGAGATTCTGTTGACACAAACCCTGAGAGCAAAATGTGTGCAGCTGGTTCATGTCATTAGAACCCCAACTTGAAACTACAGTCCTAATCCAGATAGGGTTTTGGGATACGTTATTTGTTACACACGGTTCAAAAAAGTCCATCTCCTGCTCTTCCCCTTTTCACATTCTTTTAGTGTGAAGGGTTCCCTCTATTTTATTGTGTTCCTGGTTCCTCTGGACTTGATATTGGTTGTCTACCTGCCCCCCCACCGACCTCCCTTTCCCCATCCCCCTTTTTTTTCCCTTTTTCCCCTACTCTCTCTCATCCCAAACTAATAGCTAGCATTTAAAAAGATTTACATTCCAGAAAGTGCATATCTTACGATGTGCTTTCTGATGTCCTGTGACATCAGGTGATGAACAATGAACACCCACCTGTTTTAGAACGATGCCGAGGTTTCCATGTACCATAAGAAATAATCTACTCCCAATTGTACATAGTGAGGCCCCTATCCTGCATCAGGATCAGCTACCACAGACCCCTGTGCCCAGCAGTGTCCCGGTGGTGTCACTGGAGCTCTTTACGGAGAGGGGGGCTTGCAGCAGTTCATCACGGCAGGCTTTTAGGGCCTAAGGCTGCAATTCCATTAAAGGATTCTGGTGATGGCATCAACTACAAGAGTAGAACTTGAGTGGCTTGTTAATATCAACAGAACTTTTCTTTGGAATTATTGCCTTACTTTATGTATATTTTGTGGTACATTATTTATTATATGTGAATCCTGATTAATGCCTGTGGAGCCATGGAAACCTGCTAGAAATACTGGTGGCCATTCAAAGCTGCTGAAACGCAGTGGCACTGCTCTAACCACTTTTTGAAAATGAATTTTTTGATTAGTTTTTTTAATGTAATTTTTGGTGATGTTTATGATGATGGTTTTTTATGTACTCTTGGTGATGTTTCAGTCTTATGTACTTTTCTGTTGTCAGGAAGGTACCAGTGGTTGTTTGCAGTCTTATTGTGTAATCAGCCTATTACAGGCTTCCATGTATAATAAAGTTATTAACATTGTGCAAGTGTAAAACACTTCTGTTATGAAAGTGGTGTATTATTAAAGGAATTGTTACAAAAATCCTGGGTAATTTCTCCTGTTGTCCCTCACCACTATGAATAGAAACCTGAGCCCATTCGTGATCTCTTTTGCTAGTAAACTTTTTTCCCCCCCTCACTAACCTAGAGTTTTTTCTCATAGAATCTGTGTAACTCCATTAACTTTTTATTTATACTTGAATCTGTATTTCATGCTATTTCAGTTTAAATAATCGAACAACAACAGTTCTCTAAACACAGAACCCAGCCTGTTAGCAGGGATGGAATAGTCCGTAACCACTGTGTTGGCTTTTTTAGTACCTTTTCTTTTGTTTTACAGAGGTTATAATTTACATTCTTTATATTGTGTGTAGTAGAAGTTGCATATGTATTGTTCTGGCTGTTTGCTTTAACTTAATAAAACCCATTATTCACAAAATCATAAAGGCATCACTTCTATTATCCAATCATGCTTTTGAGGACTTAGTAAGGAAATATTAGGAGATAAATTTTGAGAAGGAATTTACTGGAAGGTTTTCAGTTTGTTTTCTTCAGTTTCCTTTTGAGTCAAATAATCAAAATGTGCTATTTTAGACACCAGGGGTTTAATTCATACCTTTAGCTTAGCAAAACTTAACAAATTTCCTGAAGTTTAATGTTTATACAGCCTCATCTTTTCAAATCTTTGATTTTAGTTAAAGATATCTAAATTGCATTTTGTTAACTGCAAAGACTTTTCGTAATTGCTGGAAGTTCAGACTGTACTATACATTAACTTAATTCAAGGTAAAGATTGTAGAAAATTCTGTATCTGCTTTTTGGGGGTATTACTTGGTTGTAATTTCCCTGTCACCCTTCTGTTAATTCCTGCATTATAATGAAAGTTGTGTGAAAGTACTACTTAGCAAAATACTTGAAAAGCATTTTAGGTAATCTGAAGGTAGGTTGTGGATTTACTTAGCTTGTATTTTTCTTCAACTTTGCGTGTGTATTTGAATCAAGGCAGTGACATGGGTGAGAAAAGTCCTTGGCATGTTGAAAAACAAGCACAAAAGCCTTACAAAAAGTAAATATGGAATATGCTCAATGTCTGATATTCAGATTGTTGCTAGGAATCATTTAAAAGTATGATGGGAAAATGTAGTGGGATTTTATAAGCTCTTTGCAAAGCTTAGTCCTTCAAATATGTTTCTAAATAGAGCAGACCAAAACATTTTTCTACTTTAATATGGAGTTCAAATTTTACTGTAATGAAAGTAGGGGTATGTTAAAATTGCATGGAAATCAGGCTGTGGCTTTACCTGGTACATATTTGAAAACTGCATAGTAGCAGTTAACCCATGTGAACTTTATTTAGGGATGTGTGGGTGAAAAAAGGAAAAGGGAAAGCAAAATGGCTCTTGAATTCTTTTCCACTTTATGTCAAGCTTTAGTTTGTTGTTTTTAAAGGAGTTATGGGAGGGGAATGATAACCTGCTGCCTACCAATTACAGGACTGTAAAGAATTCATAGATGTAATGATATAAAATGCTGCATAAACTGTTACGCTTCCTCTTAGGGTAGTTCACACAGCATTATTGCCTTGGAACCTAGTGCACTATGATACCTTGTGCTGTGATTGTGCCTCTTGTCCCAAGCCACTGAAAGTGCATGTCTGACCTGCCTGCATATGATCTAGAAGAGCTAACTAAAATTTTTTGTAGTTCCTGAATTACTTCAAATGTATACAAGCTTGTGGGAGAAGTACTAGAGTAAGAAACTGAAATGAAAGCAGAATAATAAAAGAAGTGAAAACAGAATGATGTGAAGGGTATGCAATTTCAGGCTTATGGACTACTGGATGAAGAAAAGCAGCTTGATGCCTCATGGAGACCTTGAGAAGCCACTGGAATAATTCAGTGTATTCTATTAGTGTTTTTTGTTGTTTCAATTGTTTGGTCTTCCCCTCACCCCCAGTATTATATGCTTGATAACATTGTATTTGTCTGAATGATGCTTCTGCTGGCTCTTTTTCCCACCAGCTAGAAATCAGTCTGGTTCATGTGAGGCTGCTGTTGTGGCTGTGGGAATGTTTGTAACACCCAGGAAGATACATGTGAGAATGTGTAAGTTACCAGCTCGGTGCTCTAGTGGTTGAAAGAATCGGGTCACTTTAAAATCAAAGATCCTGTTTACAGCCCCTGCTGACTACCAGCTTTAAACATTTGAGCTGTAATTTTCCAGTCTGTCTCATGCTCTGTGCACTATCTTTCTCTGGGAAGCTTCTGCAAAAATTGCCCATGTATTTCCTAAAATTAGTTTAAGGAAGAAAACTTTCTTGTTCCACTAGTGTTTTCATCCCATGCTTCTTCAAAACCAAATCAGTATCATCCTCCCCCAGCTAGGACTTTAGACTGTGTTGATGTATGTCCCTTGTTGAATCACTGCTTGTGAAACCAGATAAGGTTCTGAAAAATGCTTTTACGTTCAGAAATGTGAAAGTTTGGTAGCTGTATCTCCAAAGGTGATCCCTCCAGGACAATGCATCAGGCTGTTTCAATAATTTGGTGTGTTAGCCCATGTGGCAGTCTTTTTTCTAATGTATTGTTTATTGTCAGACTGGAATCTTGCTGCTTATATAAACTGCAGTGTTCACTTTTAATGTTCTCAGATGATTTTTGTGCAATTTTTTTGTTTGTACAAACACCTAGGAAAATATGGTTTAGTGTTGTGCACATCATTTGGAACACGGGATGTATACCCTGCTTAGCAAATGAATAACTCTCATAAACTTTTAATCTCTGTTGTTTGAAACACATTTCTTGCAGAGTCCTGCTTCATGCTCTGAGTGTCATCCTGCTCAATGTGCATACAAACAGCAAGGCAGTGTTGCTTGGAAGAAATTCTCAGTCATCAGGTCATCAGTCTGTTGTACATTTGAGATGGGGTGAATTGAGAAATCAACAGAAGATTTGGTTCTGGCATTTTTAAACTTATAATGCTTCATAATCTTTACAGTAATGTAAATTTTTGTATATAATGTACTTCTTTATTTTCATATTGATCCTTTTCAATATTTTGATTTTATTAATTGGATAATGGATCTGGTAATCTGAAACCCAAGGTTCTCCTTAGTAATGGGGTGCTGCCACACTAGAAAGCTGTCCTGGCCTGAAATTTGCTAAAATAGTGTGTAGCCAGATTAAAATGAAGAAAGAATTAAGAACTGATTTAAGAATATATTTTTAAATTATTTTAATACACTCTGTCTTACCTGAAATGTATCTTAAATAGTCTCTTATTTAGTGCTACAGTTAGCAAAACATTCTGTGAGCTAATGAGGCATGTAGTGGTCATTATACAGGATCTGCAACAAGCAGATATCTGCATCATACAGATATTCTGTAGTAGCTCATGTGCCACCTTTGATGCTAAAACCTGCTTAATCTGAAACTAAGGTTATTACCCTTCAGAATATTCCTGTGTCTTGTTCAGAAGGATCCTTTACTTTGTGCTGTTGGCAAAAGATTTCATTTTGACTTTTATCTTGAAGGTCAAAAGGCTGGTTGATTTTCATCCCAGATTTCTCCTTACGGTGTGTAGTTCTCTCCGTGCATGTACTGTGTTCCCACTGGATAGGTTGGAGGCTTGACTGGGATATGATGTGTGGGTGCTGGCATATGGCCAGAAATTATATTGAGGATGGATCAGGCTGCTCAAAGATTCTGAATGTGTTTTTTTTCTGAAGGGGGGAACAATACCTCACAGGTAGGAATGTGTTTCCAGATGGTATTATGTTCTGAGATGAGTGGGAATAAGATTGGGCTGAGACCTGTGTAGATAGAATTTACAAAGAAATCCATGTGCAATTCGATGAGTGACAAGGTTTAGAATCACTTTAATTTGCTTTCCAGTAATGAGGAAATAGATAGATGTGTAATAAAACATCTTGCATGATTTGCTGAGGTGCTTTAAATTCTAGTGGGTAAAATATGTCAATGGATCATCTTACCTCTTAAAGAAAATGATCTCTAGAATGAAAAATACATTCTCTTGGAAGCTGCTTGGTAATCCTGGAAAATGAGGCTAATAAGGACTAGCTTCTTCAGCTGCAGAGGGCATTGATGTTGTGTTAGCTCTCTGCTTGGAATTCGGTCAGGATGGTGGTAACACATTTGCTTGTGGCAGCTCCTGGCCCCACGCTCTCTCCAGGGGCAGAAGGCACTCCCAGGGTCCTGGCAGAGAGGACGTGGCCTGCCCTGCCTTGTGCAGCTGGGCTTAGGCCAGGGGCTGGGAAGAGGAGGGACAGCGCAGCTTCTTAGAGCACTGAGGGGTTTGGGAAGTGTTTCCAAGCACTGATTCACTCTGGGAAACTGAAATGCAGAGATCTGAGCCAAAAGTCTGCTAGCTCAGGTTTGGCCAGAGGGCTGAATAGCCCCAGGTGTTATTCAGCAGTGGTCAATGGAGATGTGACACTTAAACTATTTAACCTGTTTAGCTTAAGAAATCTGTGAGATGTAGCTCATATTGTATCATGTTCATGCACTTGGTCCATCAAGCTTATAACTAA